TTTCCTGCCCGGAGCGCGCTCCGCCCGAGTTGTGCTCCTCTCTTTCATCTCGTCGAGCCGCCCTAGCGGCCCCGTCGCCCTAGCGGCCCTGTCGCCCTAGCGGCCCCATCGCCCTAGCGTCCCTGTCGCCTAGCCCTACGGCCCCGTCGCCTAGCCCTATGGCCCTGGGGCCGCCCTGTCCCAGCCCCGCCGCCCTTTGCAGCGGCCCCGCCGCCCTTCCCTGCGGCCCCGCCACCCATCGCTGCGGCCCCTCCGCCCCTCTCGCTGCGGCCCCGCCGCCTACCTTGCGGCCCCGTCGCCCTTTGCTGCGGCCCCGCCGCCCCTCTCGCTGCGGCCCCGCCGCCTACCTTGCGGCCCCGCCGCCCTTCGCTGCGGCCCCGCCGCCCCTCTCGCTGGGGCCCCGCCGCCTACCTTGCGGCCTCGCCGCCCTTCGCTGCGGCCCCGCCGCCCCACTCGCTACGGCCCCACCGCCTACCTTGCAGCCCCGCCGCCCTTCGCTGCAGCCCCACCGCCCCTCTCGCTGCGGCCCCGCCGCCCCTCTCACTGCGGCCCCGCCACCTACCTTGCAGCCCCGCCGCCCTACCAGCGGCCCTGCCGCCCTACGCAACCGAGCCGCCCGCACCGCTAAGCAGCCCGAGCCGCCCGTTCCGCCCGAGCCGCCCGTTCCGCCCGAGCCGCCCGAGCCGCCCCAGCCGCTCGAGCCGCCCGAGCAGCCTGAGCCCCTAAGGAGCCAAGCCGCTGGTGCGGCAGTGCCGCAGTTGCTGCTGAGCCGTCTTAGTCGCCCGAGCCGCCGTGTTGCCGAGCTGCTGTACTGCCGACCTGCCCGAACCACCCTGTCTGGTGAGAGCAACGCTTCTGTCACTGCAATGCCCCTATCCTACAGTTAGCGCTGCAGGTCTACTGCTGTGATGGCTAACCCCAGTGTTCTCGCTTTTGACGCTGAGGGTCGGGCCATTGACTTTGAGGTCTGGGTAGATGACCTGCAGCTTTTCCTACAGTGCGATAGGGCAGACAGTCTCTCTCTCTCTTTGATCTCACCTCTAGGGGCCTCTCCTGCCCCTACTGCTGATGCTGACCCCACTGTTCGCTCCCAGCGGGCCACGCCCGATGCTGCTGCACGTCTTGCTGTGCATCGCCACCTGCCTACCACTGAGCGCGCGCACTTTAGTCAGTACAAGAGTGCTCAGACCTTGTACGACGCTGTAGTTGCGCGCTACTCTTCCCCTGCCACTACTGCACTAAGCCGCCTCATGCTACCGTACCTCTTCCCTGACCTTGCTGCCTTTCCCACAGTCGCCGACCTCATTACGCACCTCCGCACTAGTGACACTCGCTACCGCGCTGCGCTTCCTGATAAGTTCTGCGCTAAGAACCCCCCCCCCCCCCCCCATGTACATCACTCTCTATTACATAGTCACCCGGCTCCCTGACTCCCTTCGTGTAGTCAGGGACCACTTCCTCTTAGTCTGTCCCACCACTCTCACTGTTGACCTCCTAGAGAAGGCCCTCCTAGCAGTAGAGAAGAGCATAGTCGTTGTAGGAGCCTCTCGTGGTGACCCTCGCACCCCCATCTTTGAGGGGTGTTCCCCTGCCGACCTGCTCCTCTGCGTGCCCCTTTGCCTTCTCCTCCTGAGTCCTCTCTTCCTGCTCTTGCCGACCCAGAGTCGGACTCTCTTCGTGCTACCAGTCCTACTGTCACGCGTCTCCTTGCAACTCTTGTCACTGACCCCTCCTTTGAGTCCACTGCTGCGTCTACTCTTGTTGCTGAGCTCATCGACTTTGCTACTCGCTGTCGTCTAGACTACCTTGCTAGTCTTGTTGCTGAGTCTGTGTCTGTCTGTCCTCCGTCCGTCGGGGGTGAGTGTGCTCTTGGCACGGACGTCCTTGAGGACAGGCAGGAGGAGTTCCAGTGTCTGGCTGCTGCTTCACCTCATCTCGGGTATGTACTGCTTACCCCTAAGGGAGACCCGGATGTACTTGACATCCCGACTCTGCGCTCTTACGCGGAGGCCGTAGAGGGTCCCTACTCCTCTCAGTGGCAAGCAGCTATGGATAAAAAGATGGCTTCGTGGAAATCCACAGGCACCTATGTTGACGCGGTTCCCCCACCTGGGGTGAACATTGTCAGTGGGATGTGGATCTTCAGGGTGAAGCGGCCGTCAGGTTCTCCACCTGTCTTCAAGGCGCGCTACGTGGCTCGTGGCTTCAGTCAGCGGCAGGGAGTTGACTACTTTCAGACCTTCTCTCCCACCCCAAAGATGACCACTCTTCGGGTGCTGGTGCACATAGCCGCTCAGCGTGACTACGAGCTTCACTCCCTTGACTTCAGCACTGCTTTCTTGCAGGGTAGCCTGCACAAGGAGATCTAGCTGCGCCGCCCACCTCGCTTCACTGGGAGTTTTCCTCCTGCCACCCAGTGGAGCCTCCGATGGCCAGTCTACGGTCTCCGCCAGGCGCCGCGTGAGTGGCACGACACACTGAGGACTACGCTTGCGGCTCTTTGGTTTGCTCCCTCTACTGCCGACCCGTCGCTGTTTCTACGCACCGACACCTCTTTGCCGCCGTTCTGCATCCTTGTATACGTCGACGACTTGGTCTTTGCCACTGCTGACACTGCTGGACTCGCCCAAGTGAAGTCCGAGCTGCAGAAGAGACACACGTGCACAGACCTGGGTGAACTGCGTTGCTACCTTGGCTTGCAGATCACCCGTGACAGAGCACGCCGCACCATTACCTTGACTCAGTCACACATGGTGCAGCAGGTCCTTCACCGCTTCGGCTTCACGCACTCCTCGCCTCAGGCCACTCCTCTGTCTACTCGCCACTCGCTCTCAGCTCTGCCTTCGGATGAGTCCGTAGAGTCGAGTGGCCCGTACCCAGAGCTTGTTGGCTGCCTCATGTATCTGATGACCTGCACACAACCTGACCTTGCATACCCTCTTAGCATTCTTGCACGCCATGTTACTCCTGGGAGACACAGACCGGAGCACATGGCTGCAGCGAAGAGGGTGTTGCGCTACTCGTGCAGTACGTCGGGCATGGGGCTAGTGCTTGGAGGGCATAGTCCAGTGGTCCTCAATGGGCACGCAGACGCTTCTTGGGCTGACAACCAGGCTACACAGCGGTTGTCACAGGGCTAAACCTTCAGCCTTGGTTCCGGCTCCGTTTCGTGGCGGGCTACTCGCTCGTCTTCTGTTCTCGGCTCCAGTTGTGAGGCTGAGATCTACGCCGGAGCCATGGCTGAACAAGAGCTTCGCTGGCTCACCTACCTGCTGACTGACCTCGGAGAGCCGCCTTGTTCTCCTCCAGTGCTGTACATAGAAAACAAGGCCATGCTGGCCTTGTGTCGGGAGCAGCGCCTGGAGCACAGAACGAAGCACATTTCTCTCTGCTACTTTCTTGCTCGTCAGCTGCAGCAGTGTGGTTTTCGACTTGCGTACGAGGCCTCTGAGGCCAACACTGCTGATATCTTCACTAAGGCTCTTGCGCCTTGTGATCATCAGCGCTTCTGTACTCAGCTTGGTCTTGTGCGTGTCTTGCCTCACTAGCTCACTTCTTGACCTTGCTTGTACTGTCACATATATATACTCCTGCTCTTGCTTGTTTAGCCTTTTATATATATGTGTGTGCTCTTGCATGTGAACTGGCCGTCTGGCCTTGAACTTGTGCTCGGAATGTGTGGTGACTTTGTGATCCACCCTGAGCTTTGCTTTGCTTTGCTTGACTGGTCTTGTGACCCCTTGTTCTCCCCCCCTTTGCCTATGGGGGTGTGTCAGATTTGTATGACATAGCTGTTGTAGGCTATAGTGGGGTAGCACATATGGGGTACAGCTTTCTAGGGTTGTATTCGTACCCAACTCTCACTTAGTCATTTCACTCTTGTTCTAACTTTCTCAACTCTAAGCACCAGCAAGTGGCCACAAGGCGAGTTCACATGGAGAGTTATATAATTAGGAACAAGTATTACAGTGATCACAATGTAGCGAAGGAGCTGAGAGCGAGTGACCGGTAGCCAGATGAGTGGACTGTGGCAAGAACCAAGTGAAGCCGAAGCGCTGAAGCACCTACTCCACCATGTGTGACTAAGTCAGGGTGATGGTGGGGCGTGCTCTGTCGCGGGTGATCTGCAAGCTAAGATAGCTGCGCAGCTCACCCATGTATGTCCACGTGCATCTCTACTGCAGCTTCGACTTCACTAGAGTCAGTGCCTCAGTGTCAACAATGGCAAAAACCAATTCCTCAACGTACACGAGGATGCAGAACGGCGGCAGCGAAGTGTCGCTGCGCAGAAATAGCGACGGGTCAGCAGTCGAAGGAGCAAACCCAATAGCCGCAAGTGTCATCCTCAGTGTGTCGTGCCACTCACGAGGCACCTGGCGCAGACCGCTGATTGGCTGCCGAAGGCTCCATTGGGTACCTGCAGGAAACGACTCAGTGCAGCTAGGTGTACGGCGCAGCCAGGTCTCCTTGTGCAGGGTGCCCTGTAAGAAAGCTGTGCTGAAGTCAAGAGAGTGAAGCTCGTAGTCATGCTGAGCGGCAACATATAGCAGCACCGGAAGAGTGGTCATCTTTGGGGTAGGGGAGAAGGTCTAGAAGAAGTAAACTCCCTATCGCTAACCATAGCCTCTAGCAATGTAACAAGCATTGAAGACTGTCGGAGAACACGGCGGCCGCTTCACCCTGAAAATCCACATGCCAGCGACAATGTTCGTCCTAGAAGAGAAAACTGCGTCGATGTAAGTGCCTATGGACTTCCAGGATGCCATCTCTGTGTCCATGGCTGTATGCCACTGATGGGAGTAGGGACACGTAATCGCCTCTGCGTAAGAGCGCGGGGTGGGGATGTGTGGAGCATCTGGATCTCCCTCAGGTGCAAGCAGAATGGACACGAGATGATGTACAGCACCTGCAAGACACTCAAAGTCTTCCTGTCTGTCCTTAAAGACGTCCGTGTTAAGAGCAGACTCACCTCTGACGGACGTAGGACAAATAGACTTAGACTAAGCAACAAGAATAGTGGCGTAGTCGAGTCGACAGCTAGCAGCAAAGTCGACAAGCTCAGCAACTAGGGCAGACGCGGCAATGGACTCAAACGAAGGGTCGGTGACAATAGTGGCTAGGAGAAGGGTGACAGTAGAACTGGCAGCACGAACTAAGTCAGACTCAGGGTCTGGACCGTCGGGAAGAGAGGACACATGATGATACGGCAGGGGAGCTCGAAGTGGAACAGAGGAAGGACGAAGTGTCATACTGTGAGTGCCGGGGAAAGGAGGAGGACGCAGACGCGGAACACGACTACCAGTGCGACCAGCACGAATAGGCGAGGCAAGGTGAGACGCAGGCTCGCGACGCTCTGTAAGAGAGTTTGTCTGCTCAGTGTAAGGAGAAGGAGCAGGTAGTGGGGAGGTTGGCTGTAACTATGGCTGCGACTGGTCTGGTGGTGGACATAGTAGAGGCGGAGAAAGGTCAGTAGAAGACGGGAGACCAAGAACCCGACGAAGTAATGGAGTGAAGTACGGTCGCGTCCGCACAGCACGTCTAGCACCAGTACCGACAGCTCCAGCACCCCAAGCACCAGAACCTCCAGCTCCAGGGTCTCCAGCTCCAGTACCCCTAGCACCAGCACCTCCAGCTCCAGGGTCTCCAGCTTCAGCACCTGCAGCACCACCAGCTCCAGCAGCTCCAGCACCTCCAGTACCTCCAGCAGCTCCAGTACCTCCAGCAGCACCACCACCACCAGCCCCGGTAGGTCCAGTACCTCCAACACGAGCACCTCCAAGACCAGCAGCTCCAGCACCTCCAGGACCAGCAGCTCCAGCACTTCCAGTAGCAGCTCCAGCACTTCCCCCCGGTAGCTCCAGTAGCAGCACGACTTCGAAGGCGGGTGCGCCAAGTGTACCAATCGCGCAGCTGCTGTGGTGAGAGAGGCTCCCGCCGGCTAGACCGTTGGGGCGAGGCACCAGTAGCACCTCCAGGACTAGTAGCTCCAGCACCCCCAGTACCTTCAGTACTAGTAGTACCTCTATAACCTCCAGGACTAGCAAATTCAGGGCCTCCAGCTCCAGCACTGCCACTCCGTAGGTGTGTGCGCCGAGTGTACCACTCGCGCAGCTGCTGTGGCGAGAGAGGCTCCCGTAGTGTAGACACAGTACCCCTAGGCTCAGCACCCCCAGACTCAGCACCCCCAGGCTCCGCACGCTTAGGCTCAGCAACCCGAGGCCCCGCATGCTCAGACGCAGCACCCTTAGGCTCCAAACCCGCAGGATCAGCACCCCCAGGCTCCGCACGCTCAGGCTCAGCACCCTCGTGCTCCGCACTTGCAGGCTCAGCACCTCAAGGCTCCGCATGCTCAGGCTCCGCAAGAGCAGGCTCAGCACCCCCAGACGCAGCACCTCGAGCAGCACCAGAGTCACCAATGACCTTGACAGGCTCAACCAAGGGGAGTGGGTCTACATGAGACACACTTGAAGGAGCAGGACCCTCAGGGGGGAGGGGGTCTACCGGAGGGGGAATTGGGGCGAGGAAGAGCGGTGAGGGGGGGGAGAGGGGCAGTGCGGTAGGGGAAGAGACGGTAAAAGGGAACCAACTCACCGAACGTGACATCCTGATAGGGCAAGACACGGCACGAGGTGGGGTGGTAGAACTGCGAGCCAGGCGCGTCATGGGGAAAGCCAAGGAAGACGCAGGGAATGGCGCGAGAGGAGAGCTTGTTTGCGGAGGTATCGCGGACAAAGGTACGACAACCCTAGACCCGGAACAGCGACGCATCGCCAACCTCTCTCGTCCAACGCAGTGTAGGCAAGGTCTCCGCCAAGGAGACATGGAGCTAGAGGTTGAGCTGATGCGCGGCGTACCGGACCGCAAACGGCCACTGAAGATGGGGAGCAGCCGCATGGATCATGGAGGTACGAGCGACCTCCATGAATAAGCCAATGCGGCGCTCAGCAACCCCATTCTGCTGCGGAGAGGCTGGAAGCGTGAATGACTAGAGGATGCCCTGTCCACGACAAAAGTCCCGCAAGAGGTCGGAGGAAAACTCACCACCTCTGTCAGACTGTAGACGCAGGACATGAAGGTCCGTGTCGAACCGCTCGCGGAGCTGGACACGGACAGCGCGGATCCAAGGGATCAAGACATCAAGGAGCTCCTCTTTGCTACGCAAGGGGAAGACCGTGGTGTAAAGCAAGTAATCGTCAGCAACGAGCAGAGAGTATCACTCGCGGCCCTGTCTCTGGACGCGGGCTGGGCCCCACACATCTAGTGGAGAGTCTGCAAGGGAGCAGTCATCTGGGGAAACGAGGAGGAGTGAGGAGCGGCGCGCTGCCGCCCCTCAATACATGCAAGGCAAGGAAGGGCCAGGCGAGGGTGGGATGGGAGGCATGGACCTAGGAAGACCAGAGGCAAGGAGGCCGGAGTACATGCCACGGAAGCGTGCTAGGGAGGGGTGACCAAGACGATGGTGTGAGAGGAGAGTCTGGTGCGATAGGAGGCGACACGAACAGGGGGCTGCTAGCTGACCTAACGCGGACGCAGACACAGCTACATGAGGAGGCTCAGTAATCAGTGTGTACAGGCTCGACCCAGGCCGACAGGAAGCAGCCTCTTTACCAGGGTTGGGCGGCACCCACAGGTAACAGTCACCCTCAGTACCAATAGTCAAAGCATACATGACAGTGGAGATAGCATCATAGTCTAAAGCAAAGATATCCATACCCTGCCTAAGCAGAGCGGGGAAGCTCAGTCGCATCACCAAAATCTGCGCGCCAGGCGTTGCTCTGATAGGAGAAGCAGCGGGACTGTGTGTGACCAGCTGTCCTGCAAGTCTGACCAGCCCGATCACTTGTGCGAATAACGTACGAGCAGCGAGCACTACTCCGAGATGCCCCACGCTTAGCATACCACTAACAAAGCTGCTCGGGTGTAAGGGTCTCGCGCACACGCCGCTGCAGCTGCACCAGGTTAGTGCCAGAAACTCCCAACCGAACAGCTGCACAGCGACGGTCATTGCTGCCTTTGCCACCACTCCTACTAGCGTACCACTCACGTAGCTGCTGGGGCGGAAGGGTCTCGTGCGGACGCCACTGTAGCTGCATCTAGCCACCGCCAGAAACTCCTCACGGAACAGCTCTATAGCGACTGCTACTACAGCCGCCACCACTCCCACAGCTGCCGCCACCGCCACCACCACTCCCACCGCTACCGTGACGAGGAGTCATGTGACCAGCAAGGCAGCACATAGGGAAGGTAGGGCGGCAAGGAGGCAATAGGGTAGGTCGGGGCGGTGCACGGTCAAGGAAGGGCGGTGCGCGGCTAGAGCAGGGTAGCGCGCGGCCAGGCAGGGGTGGCACGTGGTCAGCAGGGCGGCGCGCGGGGCTGCAAAGAGGGGGGGGGGGGGGGGGGGGGGGGGGGGGGGGGGGGGGGGGGGGGGGGGGGGGGGGGGGGGGGGGGGGAGAGTGCGGGCTGCAGAGGGCAGCGCGCTGTCAGCAAAACGGCGCACGGGCTGCAGACGGGTGGCGCATGGGCTGCAAGGGGCGGCGCGGGGTGGCGTGCACGGGGCGGCGTGACGCGGGGCAGACAGGGGCGGCGCGAAGGCAGGCAGGGGCGGCGCACGGGGAGGCAGGGCGGACGGGTGACGCGGCGGGCTGGGGCAGCCCGCACAGGCAACGCAACGGGCACGCAGGGCGGACGGGCGACACGACGGGCTACCGCAGCCCGCACGGGCAACGAGACAGGTAGGCAGGGCGGACGGGAGACACGACAGGCTGGGGCAGCCCGCACAGGCAACGCAACGGGCAGGGGCAGGGCGGACGGGCGACGCAATGGGCTGGGGCAGCCCGCACGAGCGACGCGATGGGCAGCAGGGGCGCAAGGGCGGTGCAACGCGACGGAAAGCAGGGGCGCACGGTGCGACGGGCAGTAGGGGCGCGCGACGCGACGGGCTGCAGGGGCGCGCGACGCGAGGCAGGGCAGGGCATGCAAGGGGCAGCACGACGCGGGGCAGGGCAGGGCGTGCGCGGTGCAGCGCGACGCGGGGCTGGGCAGGGCGTGCGCGGGGCAGTGCTACGCAGGGCACGGCAGGGCGTATGCAGGGCAGCGCAACGCGGGGCAGGGCATGGCTGTGCGCGGCGCAGCGCTACGTGAGGCAGGGCAGGGTGTACGCGGGGCAGGGCAGGGTGTACGCGGGGCAGGGCAGGGTGTACGCGGGGCAGGGCAGGGTGCGCACCGAGCAGCGCGACGCGCGGTAGGGCATGCACGGGCAGTGTGACGCAAGGCAGGGCAGGGCAGGGCGCACGTTGACGGCGCAGCGCAGGGCAAGGCGTGGGGTAGCGCGGTAACCGCAGTCGGTCACTAGGTAATGTACGGCCCGAAAAAAACGGTCCTACGAACCTACTACTTTGATACCATGACAGAATCTAACGAGTAGGAATGAATGCATTGAGCAGAAAGTTGGTACAAGTATAACCCTAATTGTGTTGTACCCCATATAGGCTACCCCACTACAGCCTACACAATATAAGCAACATTATAGTTTGACACCTAGTTCGAATCATATGCAATTCTCTTGAAATGTGAGACTTTTCCTGCATTTAAACCTATGAGTTTTCGCTCTTGCAGGAAAGTTATGCAAATAGTAGCTTGGTAGCGCGATCTGTGATGGCGGAGTAGGGCCTTGTAGATTTTCTACCAAGGACTGAGCTTTTTTAGACTGAGATTGTAGCAAACAATGTTTGAAGTGAGAAAGGGCTTTGATCACCAAGTGGGAGAGGATTGATGCGGATACAACTCAATCAACGGGAGCAATATCACGGACTAGGCACAGAGTAGGGGTGATCTCTGCGTTCCTTAGTCGTTTGTTTATGTGTTCTTTGCTTGCATGTTCATAGGGAGATTTACAAGAATTTCACTAGCAAAGATTGACAACAATGGTTGCAACAATATTGGCAATACTGACTTCATCAGACCTAGCAAGGCTGCTCGTCTACCTCTAGCGCAGCACGGTCGACCGCGATTCAGCGCAGTAGAGCTCGCACTGCTACAGCGTTGCAGAGTAGGGGTTCGCCAACGTTGCAAGTCCATGGTGTGCCAATGCTCTAGCAAGTCGGTTGTACAGCTTTGCATTCGCAGAAAAACAGTGCACTTGCTTCGCACGTGTGTGCACCTGGTTGGTGCACTACTTCTTGTCACGTGCATAGTGCAGACGCACGACAGAATCCACGCCAGCGATTACGCCCACCAGCCACGTCGAGCTTGGGGTACCACCCTGGCGACCTAAGAAGCCACCCCGGCGACCTTCGCACACGTCGCCCGGGTATCCTGGTCGACCGAGCAACCAGATCGGCGTACAGAAGCCCAGGACAGCGTCTGAACGTCCTGCTTGGCGTCTAGGCGCACAGGACGCCGTGCAGACGCCCATGTCGGCGTCCAGGCATCCAGGACGCCGTGCACACGCCCTGCTCGGCATCCAGGCGCCCAGGACGCCGTGCAGACGCCCCCCCAGTGTCCAGGCGCCAGACGGCGTCCCCCACTGCAGCAGGTCGGCTGCACTTCCCGCATACTCGACAAACAAAGTAGGCTCCGCCCAAGTGAGGACGGGGCCAACACACAACTCTCGTTGACAATCGAATGCTCATAGCTGAATTCAATAATAATCACTTGGGTACAAGGTTGTGGCTATATAAGCACGATACAATACAAGATACTTTGGTGTTACTAGAACATACCGAGGCTCTAGAGCCGAAGGAAATTCGGTAGGGGCATTCGGAGGATAATCATATGGACTCTAGATCACGCGAGACAAATCTTAAAAAAAAAAAAAAAAAAAGTACGATACATGCAATCCTATCCGGTGTATTAACTAGAAATTGAAATAGTAAAGTAACAAAAATGAAAATATGTGGAGAAAATGGAAAAAAAACGTAAAAATATAATTAAGGATAAAGCAAATTAAGCAACGCCGACCGTCGACGCGAAGTTGGGCCAACTTGGGGTTGATTGATTCGCAGTTGAAGATTGCGCAACCGATGAAGTTCACATGCTCACATTCATGGTTTCTCTGCTGCTAGAATATGCCACCTCAGCTTCAGGCTACCCCAAAGTCCGAGAGCGGCCTAGTTATTTTGAGTGTACACCTCATGCGTGATTGATGTCAGATTTATATGACATAGCTATTGTAGGCTGTAGTGGGGTAGCACATATGGGGTACAGCTTTCTAGGGTTTGTATTTGTACCCAACTTTCACTTAGTCATTTCATTCTCGTTTCAGTTTTCTCATGGTATTGAGCACGTTCCCTCGTGGGAACTGCGCCTAGGGCCCACCAAGTCAAAAAAAAAATTCCTGCCCAGAGCGCGCTGAGCCCGAGTCGCGCTCCCCTCTCTCATCTCGTTGAGCCGCCCTAGCGGCCGCGTCGCGCCGCCCTCGCGGCCCCTGACCCATCGCCTTAGCGGCCCCGTCGTCCTAGCGGCCCCGTCGCCTAGCCCTACGGCCCCGGTGCCGCCCTTCCCAGCCCCGATCTGCTGCCTCGCGGCCCCGTCGCCTACCTCGACCCCGGCCCCGTCGCCTCCATGCGGCCCCTGGCCCCGTCGCCTGCATGCGGCCCCTGCGGCCGCGTCGCCTACCTCGACCCCGGCCCCGTCTCCTACCTGCGGCCCCGTCGCCTACTTGCGGCCCCGTCGCCTACCTGCGGCCCCGTCGCCTACCTAGGGCCCCGTCGCCTACCTGCGACCCCGGCCCCGTCACCTACCTGCGGCCCCGGCCACGTCACCTACCTGCGGCCCCGGCCCCGTCACCTACCTGCGGCCCGGGCCCCGTCACCTACTTGCGGCCCCGGCCCCATCACCTACCTGCGGCCCCGGTCCCGTCGCCTACCCGAGCCGCCCGAGCTGCCGAGTCGCCTGAGTCGCCCGAGCGGCCGAGTCGCCCGGGCTGCCAAGTCGCCCGAGCCGCCCGAGCCGCCGAGTCGCCGAGCCGCGGTTGCCGCCCGAGCCGCCCGAGTCGCCGAGTCGCCGAGCCGCCCGAGCCGCCCGAGCCGCCCGAACCGCCGAGTTGCCGAGCCGCCCGAGCCGCCCGAGCCGTCCCTGTCTGGCAAGAGCAGCGCCTCTTCCACTGCACTGCACTGCCCTTCCACTGCACTGCCCTTACCCTACTGCTCACACTACTAGCCTACTGCTGTCATGGCCACCCCTAGTGTCCTCGCTTTTGACGCTGAGGGTCGGGCCATTGACTTTGACGTCTGGATAGATGACCTGCAGCTTTTCCTACAGTGCGATAAGGCGGATGGTCTCTCCCTCTTTCACCTCACCTCTGATGCCTCTCCTCCCCCTGCTACTGATGCTGACGCCACTGTTCGCTCACAATGGGCCACACGCAATGCTGCTGCACGTCTTGCTGTGCGTCGCAACCTGCCTACCTCTGAGCGTGCGCACTTTAGCCAGTACAAGAGTGCTCAGACCTTGTACAACGCTGTAGTTGCACGCTACTCCTCCCCTGCCACTGCTGCACTGAGCCGCCTCATGCTACCGTACCTCTTCCCTGACCTTGCTGTCTTTCCCATAGTCGCTGACCTCATTACGCACCTCCGCACTCTTGACACTCGCTACCGCGCTGCGCTTCGTGATGAGTTCTGCGCAAAGAACCCCCCCCCCCCCCCCCCCCCCATGTACATCACCCTCTACTACATAGTCACCTGACTCCCCGACTCTCTTCTTATAGTCAGGGACCACTTCCTCTCAGTTTGCCCCACCACTCTCACCGTTGTCCTCCTCGAGAAGGCCCTCCTCGCAGCGGAGAAGAGCATAGTCGCTGTAGGCGCCTCTCGTGGTGACCCTCGCACCCCCATCTTTGAGGGGTGTTCCCCCTCCCCCCTTTTGCCCTCTGTCGCCTTTGCTGCTGCGGCCGACCTCGTTGGTCTTGAGTCGGTCGGTGCGGCGTCTACCTCTAGTGGGCGAAGCCGCTCTGGCAAGGGCAAGGGGGGCCGGGGCGCTGGGGGAGCTAGCGGGGGTGGTGGATGCGGCGGTGGAGGCGGCGGAGGGAGTGGGGGGGGTGGTGGGAGTGGTGGCGGGGGTGGAGGTGTCGGTGGCGGCAGTGGAGGCGGAAGCAGGGCGGCGGTGGCAGTGGGTGCGGAGGTAGCGGAGGTGGCGGCGGTGGCGGAGGCGGTGGCGGAGGAGGTGGAGCTGGTCGGGGTGGCGCTATGCAGCGGGTCGGCTCCGGTGGTGGTCCGCGCCAGCAGCACCAGCAGCACACTCGGGACATCCCCCCCCCTCAGCAGCTCCGTGAGTGGTACGCTGCACGTCAGCGGGGTGGAGGTACTGGTCCGTGCACCTACGTCCTACGCACCGGCGACCGCGTGGGTGAGCAGTGTGGGGTTGCCCACCTCGCCCAGCGCTGCTTTGGCCGACTGATGGACGCTTGGCGTCACCAGTTCCCGGAGGCTACTGAGATCCTCCAGTGGGGTGAGCTATCTAGGGCGGGCGTAGCTATCTTTGACCTTGACTTTGATGCTATTCTTGCTGCCATGTATGGTGTGATTATTAGTGATGAGGGTGACTGTTACCAATGTTTACCGCCCGGCCCGGGCATTGAGACTGCTGCTCTAGGTACTGGTGAGGCTGCTGTTCTGGGTGCTAGCGAGGCTGCTGCTCTAGGTGCCAGTGCGTCTGCTTCCTAAGGTGCTGGTGAGTCTGCGCTCTTAGGTACCGCGTCGGCTTCGGCCTCCCTCACTTTCACCCTTGACTCAGGGGCTTCTCGCTTCTTCTTTCGAGACGCACCACACTCGCGCCGCTTAGTTGGCCAGTTGCAGTCTCTTTGGCAGACCCCTCTGGGGATCCTTTCCTTTCCCACTTCTCCACTGTCCTCCCGTGTCCGGCGGCCCCCTCTGGCACCTTGTTTGGTCTTTATCTCCCCTCGTTCTCTATGAACTTGGTGAGTGGAGCTGACCTACAGGACGCGGGGGTTCACCAGTTCACTCCTGCGAGTCAGCGGGTGACCCACTGCACGGACGCTCGCACAAGCCGGCACCTGGCCACGTTTACACGTCGGCCGGGGTCGAGCCTGTACACACTGACCACTGAGTCTTCTGCTGTCATAGAGTCTTGTCAAGTAGTTGCGTCGGGTCAGGTGTTTGCTGCAGCGTCCAGGTCTGGTCCTGAGTCTGCCCCCTGCTCATCTCGCCTCCTGTCTCACGAGACTCTCCTGTGGCACCACCGCCTTGGTCACCCCTCCCTGCTTCGTCTCCGAGGCATGGACTCCCGTGTCCTTCTATCTGGTCTTCCCCGGTCCCTCCCTCCCCTTCCTTTGTGGCCTGGCCCTACCTGCGTCCCCTGTGTCCAGGGACGGCAGCGAGCTGCCCCTCACTCCTCCCAGTTTCCTCCGAGAGAGGCCCCGCTGCAGACGCTTCACATGGACGTGTGAGGCCCGGCCCGCGTCCGTGGATAGGGTCATGAGCGCTACTTCCTGCTGGTGATTGATGACAACTCGCGTTACACCACAGTCTTCCCCTTGCGCAGCAAGGGTGATGTCACTGAGGTGTTGATCGACTGGATCCGCACAGCTCATCTCCAGCTCAGGAGGAGCTTTGGCTCCGACTTTCCTGTTCTGCGTCTGCACTCTGATTGAGGCGGAAAGTTCTCCTCTGGCCTTCTGCGAGCCTACTGTCGTGCACGAGGCATTGGCCAGACCTTTACGCTTCCGGACTCTCCACGGCAAAATGGGATTGCTGAGCGCCGCATTGGCATGGTCATGGACATCGCCCGTACGTCCATGATGCATGCAGCTGCCCCCCATTTTCTGTGGCCGTTTGCGGTTCGGTATGCGGCGCATCCGATCAACCTTCACCCCAAGGTCTCCATGCCAACCTTCCTGTGGATGGGGAAGGTTGGCGATGCGTCTGCGTTCCGTGTCTGGGGATCTCGGGCGTTTGCCCGCGACTTGTCTACGGACAAGCTGTCCCCTCGTGCTGCTCCTTGCGTCTTCCTTGGCTTCCCCCCTAACGCGCCAGGGTGGCAGTTCTACCACCCCACCTCTCGTCGTGTTCTCTCCTCCTAGGACGTCACGTTTGACAAGTGGGTCCCCTACTACCGCCTCTTCCCCTACCGCACTCCGTCCCTCCCCCCGCCACCGCTCTTCCTTGTTCTAGGTCCCCTTCCGGTAGACCCCTCCCCCCTCAGGGTCCTGCCCCTTCAGATGTGTCCCAGGTAGACGCAATCGAGCCTGTCGAGGTTACTGGTGACTCTGGTGCTGCTGGGGGTGCTTAGCCTGGGGGTGTTGACTCTGGGGGTGCTGAGCGTATGGGTGCCACGTCTGGGGGTGCTGGGCCTACGGGCGGTACTAGTGGGGGTGCTGAGCCTAGGGGTGCTGAGACTGGGGGTGCTGAGCCTGGTGGTACTGAGCCTTGGGGTGCTGCGCCTGGGGGTGCTGAGCCTGGGGGTGCTACGTCTGGAGGTGCTGAGCCTGGGGTTGCCACGTCTGGAGCTGCTGAGCCTGGGGGTGCGGATCTTGCGGGCGCTGGGCTTGCGCGTGTGGCGTCTAGCAGTGCTGTGCCTGGAGGTTCTCCGGGTGCTTCGTCTCGGCGGGAGCCACTCTCTCCACAGGAGTTGCGCGAGTGGTTTGCCCGGCGCTGGAGGCGTACTGCTGGAGATGGAGCTTCTTCGGCTGCTGAGGGTGCTGGTGCTGCGGGTCCCAGAGGAGCTCGTACTAGGAGTACTTGAGCTGCTGGGCCTGCGGGTACGACTGGAGCTGGAGCTGCTGAGGGTTGTTGGCGCTGAGGCTACTGTTGTCGGTCCTGTAGGCGGTCCTACTGGGGGTGCTACTGGTGCTGGTGGAGGTGCTGTTGGCGCTGGTACTCCGCTATGGGTGCTGGTGCTGTCCCTGCTGTGTCTGAAGTCGCTGCGCGGCCTCGGCCAAACTTCGTTCCGCTCCTTTAGCAGGTTCTTGGTCCTCCTCCTCCCTTAGAGTGTCCACCGCCTGTCCTGTCACAGTCACAGTTACTGCCGGCCTCCCCACTGCCTACTCCTTCTCCCTAGACTGGTCCTACTGGAGGTCTTGCTGAGCGTCGTGAGCCTGCGTCTTGTCCTGCGTCGCCTGTTCGTGCTGCTCCCCCTAGTGGTCGCGGTTCGCGTCAGCATCCTCCTCCTGTCCCTGGCATGCACCGGATGTCTCTGCGTCCGTCCACTGCTCGTCTACGTGTCCCTTTGCCTTCTCCTCCCGAGTCCTCTCTTCCTCCTCTTGCCGACCCGAAGTCGGACTCTCTTCGTGCTGCTAGTCCTAGTGTCACGCGTCTCTTTGCTACTGTCGTCACTGACCCTTCCTTTCAGTCCACTGCTGCGTCTGCCCTAGTTGCTGAGCTCATCGACTTTGCTGCTCGCTGTCGTCTAGACTACGCTCCTAGTCTTGTTGCTGAATTTGCGTCTGTCTGTCCTCCGTCTGTCAGGGGTGAGTGTGCCCTTAGCACGGACGTCCTTGAGGAGTTCCAGTGTTTGGCTGATGCTTCACCACATCTCGTGTCCGTACTGCTTACCCCTGAGGGAGATCCGATGCACTACACATCCCGACTCCGCGCTCTTACGTAGAGGCGGTAGAGGGTCCCTACTCCTTTAGTGGCAGTCATCTATGGATGCAGAGATGGCTTCCTGGAAGTCCACAGGCACCTACGTTGAAGAGTTTCCCCCGCATGGGGCAAACATCGTCAGTGGCATGTGGATTTTCAGGGTGAAGCGGCCGCCGGGTTCTCCACCTGTCTTCAAGGCGTGGTACGTGGCTCCTGGCTTCAGTTAGTGGCAGGGAGTTAACTACTTTCAGACCTTCTCTCCCACCCCGAAGATGACCACTCTTCGTGTGATGCTGCACATAGCCGCTTAGCGCGACTATGAGCTTCACTCTCTAGACTACAGCACTGCTTTCTTGCAGGGTAGCATGCACGATGAGATCTGGCTGCGCCGCCCACCTAGCTTCACTGGGATTTTTCCTCATGGCACCCAGTGGAGCCTCCGGCGGCCAGTCTACGGTCTCCGCTAGGCACCGCGTTAGTGATATGACAGACTGAGGACTACACTTGCGGCTCTTGGGTTTGCTCCCTCTACTGCCGACCCGTCATTGTTTCTGCGCATCGACACTTCTTTGCCGCAATTCTACATTTTCGTGTACGTCGACGACTTGGTCTTTGCCACTACTGACACTGCTGGACTCGCCCACGTGAAGTCCGAGCTGCAAAAGAGACACACGTGCACAGACCTGGGTGAACTGCGCAGCTACCTTGGCTTGCAGATCACCCAGGACAAAGCACACCGCACCATTACCATGACTCAGTCACACATGGTGCAGCAGGTCCTTCAGCGCTTCGACTTCACGTACTCCTCGCCTCAGGCCACTCCTCTGTCTACTCGCCACTCGCTCTCAGCTCTGCCTTCGGATGAGTCCGTAGAGCCGAGTGGCCCGTACCCAGAGCTTGTTGGCTGCCTCATATACATGATGACCTGCACTCGACCTGACCTTGCATACCCTCTTAGCATTCTCGCGCGCTATGTTGCTCCTGGGAGACACAGACCGGAGCACATGGCCGCAGCGAAGAGGGTGTTGCGCTACTTGTGCAGTACGTCGGGCATGGGGCTTGTGGTTGGAGGGCAGAGTCCAGTGGTCCTCACTGGGCACGCAGACGCTTCTTGGGCTGACAACCAGGCTACGCAGCGGTCGTCACAGGGCTATACCTTCAGCCTTGGTTCCGGCTCTGTTTTGTGGCGGGCTACGCGCTCGTCTTCTGTTCTCGGCTCCAGTTGTGAGGCTAAGATCTACGCCGGGGCCATGGCTGCACAGGAGCTTCGCTGGCTCACCTACCTGCTGACTGACCTCAGAGAGCCGCCTCGTTCTCCTCCAGTGCTGTACGTAGACAACAAGGCCATGCTGGCCTTGTGTCGAGAGCAGAGACTAGAGCACTGAACGAAGCACATTGCTCTTCGCTACTTCCTTGCTCGTGAGTTGCACCAGCGTGGTTAGCTGCGTCTTGCCTACATGGCCTCTGAGGCCAACACTGCTGATATCTTCACCAAGGCGCTTGCGCCTTGTGATCATCAGCGCTTCTGTACTCTGCTGGGTCTTGTGCCTGCCTTGCCTCACTTGCTCGCCTCTTGACCTTGCTTGTACTGCTACTTATATATATACCCTTGCTCTTGCTTGTCTAGCCTTTTACATATATATGTGTACTGCTTGCATCTGAACAGGCCTTGTGGCCTTGACCTTGTGCTCGGCATGTGTGGTGACTTTGTGATCTACCCTGAGCTTGCTTTGCTTTGCTTGACTGGTCTTGTGACCCTTTGTACTCCCCACTTTGCCTATGGGGGTGTGTCAGATTTATATGACATAGCTATTGTAGGCTGTAGTGGGGTAGCACATATGGGGTACAGCTTTCTAGGGTTTGTATTTGTACCCAACTTTCACTTAGTTATTTCATTCTTGTTTCAGTTTTCTCAATTGAGTTCTCATACTTACCCTACCTTCTGGGATTTTAAGTGCCTTCTTGCATTCCCAATGCCTCGTTAACGTTGCAGCTAGATAATACATACAAATAGTGAAAAAATGACGTCATCCGCGCATGATTTCCCACGCAAGGGGGCCGGAAAAGTGACGTCAATCGACCACCTGCGGAACACGTCCAAAGTGGCCGCTCGTTCGAAGGTGACCCTTGAGAGCTCCGAAGTTCCTTTGGGCTGACAACAGTCTTGGTTTCATCCGGGTTACAAATCGTCACATTGGACCACGTGTTGCGGGGAAGTCAAGGGAAATTCTTTTTCCGCGTATGCGCACCACGCGCCGAGCTCGGAAACGTCGTTAAGAGCCCAAGTGTCAGAACATCAGAGGTCAACGTCCCGATTCAGCTTCGCTAATTCGTTAGCTAATGCGAAATCTTCTCGCAGCCCGATTCTCACATTATCGCTATCGTTTTGCGCGAATCATGTGCGACGAAGGAATCACCGTTACAACGACCATCGACGAGACCAGAGGTAACCCTTTATGTCGTGTGCCACGAAAGCCAATGACAATTACGCGAATTGTATCCTCGTGAAATGTGTTTCGCGCCCTGAAACATCATTCCGCGTGCCCCATGAAAACAATTGGAAACAATAAATACCTTGCACGTAAGCACTAGCGTGTTGACACAAAACACGAAATGCACTAGCCCAATAAAACACCATCTAGATTCTTTCTTCACTGCGAAACTAACCACCCACATCAGCGGGCATGTGCCAATACAGTTCGTGCAGTACAACACACACAGTACTTTTCGCGCCAACTAGTAGCACAACTTTTCGCGCCAGCTTGTGAAGTAGCTTGCATGAAAACCTCCGCAGTTTCCGGGGACAAAACAAACTAAAAAAATAGTAAAGCAGCGAAAACCAGAAATCCGCGAGCTATCATAGTGA